CCAATTTTAAAAGAGACACTTCTTAAAATATGTTTTCCATTCATCATCGAAAGTGTTTCATGGGAACCTGAACTTATATCAACATCAAGCTCGGAGGAAACATCTACTGGGCCAGACTCTTGTGCGCATTTACCACAAGTGGCAAGCAAGTCTGAAATGAGCTCCTCCCCTTGTCTCTCATACTTTAACCATGCTCCAAATACAAGCTTCTCATGCACAGTGCTGCCCTTCAGCCAAGCTGAGCGGAGACTTCTTCGCATCAATTTGGCTTCACCAAGGCCTTTAAACAGTTGATATTGAAATAAATAGAGATTTGACCTCTCTTGCGGAGAACAGGATTCAAGTTCTTCATGAATCTGAGCTAAAACTTCTACATAATCAACAGGTTTAAAGAATGGTTGCACTGGTGGTTCTGGGACCTTGATAAGTGATTCTCTAATTAACCCAACAAGAAAACAAAATCTCAATCTATTGAAATCAAATATAAATTTGTTTAACATTTTTCATTAATAGAAACCACAACAGATGTAAAAAACACTTACATGGATGAAGAAGAAGACGACCGTGAAGAGAATTTCGAAAGCTTCCCTCTTTCAACTTGAAGCCATGACTGAGGATTTAAGAAGTCGAGTTGTGATTCTTTACAGGAATCAGAGGTAAAGGAAGCCCTCATGGGGCATAAGAGATTAAACAAGTCCCAGATCTCCACAGTAGTCAGATTAGTCCTCACTCTTTCAATTCTTTCCTCTCTCTCCCCTCTTCCTCCCCAGCTGAAATGAACCTAAAATTTGGCAGCACAGAGCAAACAAATACAAAGCCTAAACTGTTGCTTGTGATCACACATCACAACACTTAGCTGATAAATCTTCCAACCCCACAAAACAACAACTCTTATCTAAAGAACACTTCTCATAAATACAAACAACAGGCAAACAATCGTGTGCAAAAGGTGTCACTGAATAAGTAAATACAAACCATGAAAAAAGGGAGCTTTTAAGGCAGTCAGAATCTTGCAGATCCCTCTTGGGTTGACTCAAATTGACAGTTATGGAAAGCCAATAACTTGTAGTCTTGAATTACACGACAAAAATCTTCAGTCACCTTCGAAAACAATTTGAAATAGCAAAGTGAAAGAAAGCAGCAAAGACCAAAGACCCACCCCACCAACAGCTACCTCAAGAACTCTACCAGAAAAAGGCAAACCAAACCAAACCCACCTTTTATCCTTTCAAAACAAACCCAAAATGAAAAGTAAAAATAGCAAATAAATAGTAGTAGATAATAGAACGAGAAGGGGAGAGCGACCCAGTTGACTTTAGTTTGAAGAGGGAACCAGAGATTGAGAAAAAACAAAACCTGAGGAAGTTGCAGAGTGATCAAAGTGAAGGAATCCAAAGGGAAAAATTCTAAATTCCCGCTTTTGATAGCTCTCTTTTGTTTGGTTAAAGGGAAAGTTTTTTCCTTTTTTCTACTTTTTTTTCTCTCCCTCTTTCTAAATTTTGTTGTCGTTGGAGACCGGAGAGAAAAAGAAAGAAAAGGAGAGGAACAGTAGAGAAATATTTGTAGTTTGGTTGGACTTCGAGGCACAAAAACTAACGGGAAAATCTAAGAATCCAGAAAACATAATTGCGTGGAAGCGAGGGTAAAATCGTGATATACTAGCTGAGAGTGAACCGACGTCGTATCGTAACGGAAATATTATTATTATTAGTAGGACTGTGAAGAGAGGAAGGCATGCTGCTAGAAAACAAAATCCTTGAGGAAATATTATTACTATTAGTATTATTATTGTGAGGACTGTGAAGCGAGAAAGGCATGCTGCTAGAAAACAAAATCCTTGGCATCTTGTAGATGGGATTGTTCTGTGATTGTGGGGTCCTTTTGAATTTATTGGGATTAAATTATGGTAAGTAGAGATTAAGTAGAGACAGAGAGGAAATATTCTCTGAGGTAATGACACTGGACCAAAGAACGAGTATTCATTCTATCATGATGATATCCTCTAGCCTTATGATTCAAAATGCTGCTAAGGCAGCCAGCATTCCCGGCTTCATTAAATCCTCATATTACCACTAGATTGTTGGCACGCGTCTGGTTGCTAGCGGATCCTAATCTTTTCTACTGTAAATAATAATAATAATAATCATAAGGCTGCGCGGCCGTTTCCGAATAAATAAAAAATGACACCCCTTCACTTAGTTAAATAAATTTGTATAATTTTGATAATATAAAAAAATCAATAATAACAATAAATAATAATAGGTAAAAATTGACAAGAAAAAAAGTTAATATATATATACAATTGACATCTCAAACTTTTCACATGGTATTAAAATAACTTTATAAAATCTAAATTAAATAAAATAAAAATTTAATTATTAAATAATTTAATATTAAAAATTAAAACTAAAAAAATAAAAAAAATCTAAATCAATATTTATCTTTTAGCCATGCTATCTTAGATATAAAATTGGGATAACTTCACAAATATAAAAATATAAAAAATAATTTTTAATAAATTAAATTTTAAAAGATAAGATTGAAAAACATTAAATTTAAAAAGAGTATGGAAGTTATTTGTATTAATTTATAAATCTTGTGATTTTTATTATGAATTAATTTTATAAAAAACAAATTCTAAAAAAAAAGTAGAATTATAGGCTATAAAACATTAAAAGAAAAAGATTTAAATAAAACAGAAACTAAATTGTAGAGAAAAAAAAGAGTAAAAAACTAAAAAAAATAGAAATTAAATGAATAAAAACTAGTTGGATGTAAAAAACAAATAACAGCACAGTTTTGTGTTTGCCAGAGATAAGAAAAAAATCAACCGACACCATAATGCCAATCCATTATGGATACGCGCCCCTACATCATGAGTATCTATCTCAATGCGCCGCCCCTCACAACGCCGGAGGAGGCCCTCACATCGTAAAAACCATTATTTTAATATTTTGCACACAAAAATAAATGGCAAGACATGCAGAAGATACAGAACAATAAATACATCTCTCCACCATCAATGGCCAGCAGAGGATGTAGCTACAGCACAATACAGTTGTCTATAGCTAGCTACTTGTGAACGCACGTTTGAGCGGCTTCCATTGAACAATCCCATTGCAACTAATAAATAATCAGCACCACATGCTCCTCCCTGCTGTGCAATCAGCGCCAGCAAATGCGCAGCGTTTACGCCTCTTTAAAAAAAAATGAAAAAAATATCTTCATAATATTTAAGTTAGATAACAGCAGTGTCCCTCCCTCTCTTGCTGGTATTAGACCGTCGAGTGCCTTCTGCCTAACTCCAGTCGTGCTCCGAGGCTTGTGGGTTCACCGGGGAGCATTCGAGTCCAGGTCTTCTGTACAATATCCACTCTTGCTTTTGTTTTTTTCTACAGTGGGGTTTCCCTCTCATGAGATTGTGAAAGTGATGACGTATTTTAATCATAATTTACTCAAAGCAAAACGATTTTAGCTTAAAAATAAAAACCGAGAAGAGCTACAAGCTTCGCTACCTTATCTTCGATGCAACTTCTGCGGTTTGTATTGTGTTTTTTTTTTAATATATATATATATAATATTTTTTTATTAAAGTTTTAATACAAAAACATCAAAACAATACTAAAATAAAAAAAAAATTATTTAAAAAGGCACAATTTAACTACGAAAATAAACACTGAACAATCAAACCATACAGTGATGATGCCTGGAATTCCACCTGATGATGGGAGAGACAAAAGGGTGTGAAATATCAAATGGATGGCCTTTAAACACAAACAAACACACCCTAGTGAGGAGAGGGACTGTAGTGGGTTGGTAAGGAAATGACGCGCACAAAAAATTCAAAATGCTAATAACACCACCAATGGGACAGCTTTTAAGGAAAATAATTGACCCACACCATTTATGACAGCTAGGCACTGTCTGGAAGTGCATTTGACCATATCTTTATTTTAAAAAAATTAAATTAATAACTTTTTACTTATTTTGACGAGCAATAAAAGAAATACTCTAATATATTCTAAACAATAAAACATTCTAAAAAATAGCCCCTTTCACCCCCACCAAACATGAACATGAACGAAATGACGCTGTTACTGCTGAGCGTCACGCGTCTGGAAGTGTTAAGCAGGGAAAAAAGAGACCAGGAATCCATGGAAAAAGGGCTAAATACCAGGGTGCAGGAAGGCCAAAGAGTGGTGGGGCATCATCACCGAGGAATTACCCTGGATTTTCCACCGTGGTTGAAATTTAGACAAGGGAAGTGCGTGGTGGGTTCAGATTCGCCGGCCTTTAGTGATCTCAGCTAGGACGGACGCGGACGCCAGCAAACATCCAAAAGTCTATATCGTTTTCAATCACAAGGCCATACTGTCGCCAATCTAATTACGTTTGTTGAACATCAGACACCTTTCACTTACTCTAATGCCCTGCCTCCGTGTCATTCACAGGTCCGATGCAGAGCCACTCAAAATCTTACTTCAAGATTATCTGGGCAGACCTGATGTCTCAGTTTCGTGCCTCCCTTCATGGCTCTAAAGCCAATGCTTTCATGGATGCAGAGTGTATTGGGTAGGTTTTATGGTTGTGATTTAAAAATAATAAGTTAAAAAAATATATAATGCATAAAAATTATAATTGAAATTTATATATAATAAATACAAGCATAAAATATTTAGTAGTAATTTTTATTTGAAAATATATTAAAATAATATTTTTTATTTTTTAAAAATTATTTTTAACATTGATCCATCAAAATAATATAAAAACATTAAAAATATATTAATTTAAAATAAATAAATAAATTCAATTTTTTCAAAAAAACCAAACACAAACAAACAAAATTTTACAAAATTCTATTAAGAAATAATATAAAAACATCATTTTAAACTTAATTTTTAAACAAACCCTACAATGCAAAATATTTTGATATTTCACGGCAATCACAAAAACCAATAAGATAAAAAACAGAGGCAGCCGTAATCTAATTATCAGGACCAGATTGAGATTCGTGGGTATCATTTCATATTTCATGTCATGTATCTTGTCAGATCTCATGGTGTCTGCTTATCTAGACTTGCAGGCTTATACACAGCAACTAATCCCCTGTTATTTTGATATATTTTTATGTGAAAAATAATTTTAAAAACTTCTTCCATAGTCTAATCCTAAACACTCCCTCACGCAACCACACTATCGTTGCCCTTCTTCAACCACATGATCGTTTAACATAGAGAGGGATACACGCAAAGGGTGGAGAGGTGTTGATAGATCTTCACTTCGAATTTGTTTCCTCATTAATAACTTAAAAATGGCCGCAACTACTACAACAAACTTTATACCTTACAGTACAAACTCTTCCAAGTGAGCTAAACTCTACTGCCTTGATTAATATCAAAATGGGTCGCGCTGCATAACACATTCATCCTCCACACATTCAGATTTCCGGGGCATCTGCAACGCCAAGATCAGAAATCATGAGTCAAATAGTTTATGAATCAATCTCAGTGCAATTATTTCACATTAAGAATGCACTATAAAAAAAAAAAATCAATTATCCATAGTGTAATGCCAGTCCAAGAAAAAGAATTGTGCGTCCAAGCTTTCACAATTCTTTCTTGTTTGTCGGTTAACATGTATTTTCAATAACATTCAACAATGTGCTGCACTCTTCCATTCTGCACTTTCAGTAAAGAACCACAAGCTGAACTGCAATAAACGCTTTTGTGCATATCCTGGAATAAGACGTCATAGTTAACAAAGGGCATTTTTTGAGATTACTCGAGTGAAGTTACAGTGAGATTGTTCAAAACAGACTCTGCATCAAGCATGATATCTCCCCAGAAGAATTTCACATCTTTGAATGAAAAGATAACATAACAGGAGTGACCAAATAATTTAACAGGAACTGTGCACGTCATATTTTCATAAAGTTTTGATTGGCAGTGCAGTTTCAGACTGGTAATCAGAACACGGCAGAGAACATTTGCTGTTCAACACAAAGAGTCGAGGGAGATATTTATGTTTCATATGACATTTTTTGTTATGTTTCCTGTTGATACGATTTTTGTATTTTCAAAAAAAAAAAAAAAAAAAACTTTTCTTAAATTTTACGATTAGTATAAGCATTTACCTAGGTTGTCTTCACGAGCTATGTTGCTTTCTTCCTGGGGAAGCTGACCATCATCCGCGCCTTTCACTTACAATAAAACCAAGACAACTAGTTAATAAAGCCTGCGCTTCTGGATGAAAATGTTTGCCATTTACCCAATAGTATCAAAACAAAGCTTTAATTTGTGCACATGTGTGGAGCCCTGAAATAAAAGTATGGAAATTAAACTGGACTTACATAGGGTTTGACTTGCAAAGATAACAGTAATCTATAGTATCCAAAAAAATACCTCAATCCTACTTGATAACCAACCTGTTGGCAGGTTTGGGAAGATCACCACAGTGGAATTTGGAGTTGCTTTGACACCTGGAGTTTCTAATTGACATGGAATAGGCCATAGTGCTGGAATTACGTTTGAAGAAGCTTCCTGAGGTGGAGCAAATGGGCTTGCAGCAAGATGCATTATTAATTGTGCCTGTAAACAATCACTTTAGAAAGCCACCGTAATTTATAGACATTGCCAGCATATACGGAAAAGAAAGAGCTTTCATCACCTTATCTCTCGGTACATGATCATAGACGTTTACCTTCCCACAGTAAAAAATTGTCATCTGTCCTGCTGATTCTTTTGCCGCCCCTGTAGTTCTGACATATTAAAAAGTTTTCTCAGCTTGCTGAACTTCAATTACTGGTTTACACAGCTACAAAGAGAGGTGTCATCCAAGAGATGGCCACGTTCCAGATGCATGACAAACTTATTTTCAAAACTTCAGATAGATCTCCGTTATTCATGTTTCCAATGTGCAACAGATACTTCAGTTACACTGATATGAAAGTGAACAATTCCGAAAAAATTCATGTGTGTGTATAAGTATGATAAGCCACCTAACATTACTTTAACAGTGCATAATAATTATTAACATGGAAATCCCTTCAACATACCACACAAGACAACTGAGAAGATCTTCTTAGTCCTAGACAGCACGGGCATTTTCTAAAAGATACATCATTACATCCATAAGCTAGATAATAAATACTCCTACAATGTTGGCAAAAATTTGTCTACAAATTATGTGCAGAAATAATGGCATATGCAGGCCTGCAGATTTTGTAAAAGAGTCAAATCCCTTGCTATTCCAATCAGAAATCAGAATATTCTCTAACTGATATCTCAAACTTCCACACCCCTTATCTTGTGGCAATCACACACATGTTAATTCAGCACCTCTGCTGAAATGGTTGTTAACAAGAACATGACATGCACAGAAGAAGATACCTTAAAAAATGGAAAAACTGATGAAGACGACACCAAGTTCCAATAATTTTCAAACATCAAACCAACTTGAATCATCACGCTTTCAGCTTTAGTTGAAACACAAACATCCATAACATTTTTCCTCTCGACTGTAATAAAAATGAAATAAAACATCCCACGCATAACCAAAAAGAAACAAGCAGAATCGGAGCCAGACAAGTCAATGGCTGAAACACTGTCTTTGACCGACCATCATGGTCCAGAATAATACATGCTCACCCACCCCCAAAAGCTATCACACACTATTCACATTTAGAGTCAAAAGTGCACGCCTTGAAATCACCAACTTGACCAACAAAATCAAAACCAAGTTCACCTACAATAAGGATTAAAAAATTTATTTCGTACTGATACAAAGGCTGTCTTATGCATGTCTAGCATATGCAAAACAAGGAACAACCTTGGAGAAACGGAATCATTTTCGGTGGCAGCGACAAACACCGGAGGCGGAGGATCAGTGGGAACAACGGGATTCGGGGGATCGGGTTGCCGGGACGGTACTAACTCCTCAGCTGACACCAAGATCGGTGCATCGGCACTTTCTCCACTCGCCGAGACAGAGGAATTTGCAGGGGCCTACAAATACATATTATATATTGTAATTAAAATTAAAACTACATTAAAAAAAAAGATAAAATAAAGGTGTCTTTAACTTTTCATTTATAAACTAATGAAATAAAAAAAGGAAGGGTTTGACGGTAGAGAAACGCACACGCGGAGGGTTATCAGGAGGGGGAATGTAGAGTCGTCGCCTTGGAGATTCTGTCTCCGGCGTCGTTTCTAGGAGTGTCTTGAGTGAAATCACTTGCTGTATTGCCTGCGATTTGTTCCACGACGGCCTTCTCATACCTATTTTTTGTACGGTCACCACCACCAACAACAGAGATTAAAAAGACATGAAACGCAAAAACCATGACTCTCTCTACTACTATATTTAAGCTAGAAAGACCTTTTTCTTTGAGGTAACGGCGGCAATCTTCGCGAGTGAGCTGAGAAATGTCATCTTCGGTTAGTTGGTGAAGGGGTTTTTCTAGAGCTGACCGGGAAACTGTCTCTCCCGGTTGCATGTTGCTTGGTTTCTGGTCCGGTGATCGGTTACCGGAGCTTGCAGGGATGGAGAATTTAACGAGATTTTACACTTTTGAGTGGCATTTTGGTGAATCTGTTGTACTTTTAAGGGTGAAAAAGGTTAAAGGGGGGAATGGGCAGGAGAGCGAGAGAGTGCGTGGAGGTTGAGGAGAGGGGGGTCCGTTTGGTCTCGCGGCATCTCACCCTTCCAGCTTTATTTTTAAAGGAGATTTTAATTTTAATTTTAATTTGATTTAATTTATCATTTATTCGTGTGATGGATGGTACTGCAACCCCAGGTCGCCACGTAATATGGTAAGCCTTTTTAACATTGCCCCCACCCATTGCATGCTTACGGCAGTAAAATGTTCCTTTCACTATACTCCGACCATATTTGTTTTTGCGGAAATCTATGATGAATCTTTAATTCATTAAAATTAAAGGGGGAATTATTTTTTATCCACGCACTACGTATTGCTTCTTCTTTTTTCCTTTCCTTTTTTTTTTTAAATTTTTTGTTATTAATTTTATTTTCAATTTTATTTTTATCTATTCTATTTTTTAATATTATAATAATTACAAATTAAATTTTATAATTTATTTATTTTCATTGTATCTTCTTATATGTTTAAAATGATTTACAGGTTTATTATAATAATTTAAGTTATCTTAATTTACAAGTTTGGTAGATTGTATTTTTTTAATATAACTTGATTTTGTTATTGTTTATTTTTTTTATACAATTAAAAAAATAATTTAAAAAAATCATATTATTAAACCTTATAAAATTCATGAACATGTTTAACTGGCTGACATGATTCGTGGGTTTGACGAGTTTAATTATTTTTTTCAATTTCATTTATAGATATTAGGTTAATCGAGAATTTAGTTTCATAATTAGTTTTGTTTTGCTTTCTGTAAAGTTATCACAATTTTAAAAATATCTCAATATTGGGTTGATGTTTGATTTTTCGATCATTTATTTCTAATATTATATAGTTAAATAAAAAATAGTTTCTTAAAAAATAAAATATGATTCCAATGAAGTCTATAACCTGATTCATGAGTTTGGTGTCCTAACCTAAGTTACCCGATTTACAAGTTTGATGGGTTTATCCATCGACTGAATATGTTTTTATTTTTATTTTTTATAAATATTTTTTTAAAAAATTAATTTTTTAGTGTTAAATTGATTAAAAAATAGATTGACTAATTTATTTTTGTTTATTTTTTAAAGTATTATCATAGTCTTAGATAAATATATATTTTATGATTGATATTTATTTTTATGAATATTTATTTTTATTATATTAAAAAATAAAATAGAGTTTATAAAAAAAAGTTATTAGACATAATAAAGACTATGCCTTAATTCACTAATTTGATGTCCTTGCCTAGATTATTTAATTCACAAGTTTGATGGCTTTACCTATCAATTGGATATGCATTTTTTGTTTTTAATTTTAAATTTTTTTAATTATTTTTTATTTCATCATTTAATATTGGATCGGTTAGGAAATAAAATACATGATTTATTTTTTTATAAAATTATCATAACCTCAAATAAATGTATATTTTAAGGTTGATATTCAATTTTACACATATTTGTTTTTATTATATAATTAAATAAAAAAGATTTTATAAAAAAGGTTATTAAATTTAATAGAAAACATGACCCCATTCACGAATTTGACATCTCAACCTAGGTCACCTGATTTATAAGTTTGACAGGGTTTACCCATTGACTAGATATGTATTTTTTGTTTTTTACCTTTTATTTTTTTTATTTTTTATTTCATCCTTCAATATTATATTAGATAGAAAATAAAATACATGGTTTATTTTTGTTTGTTTTTTACAAGGTTATCACATCCTCAAATAAATCAAATTAAAAATTACTTTTCTATCAATTAAGCACGCTTGATTAATTTCTTTAAAAGATGCTGATTACCAAGGGAGTAATGAATAATGGTGTTTAGAAGGTAAATTTATTTTTTCTTAAAAAAAATACATGATAAATTTAAGTGTTTTTCTAGATCAAACCTCGGTAGCAATGTCCCATAGCTTGCAATAACATTTAAAGATTTTAGTGGCCCGACATAAGGAATTAAAGGTCGTGTTAGAGCGAGAAACAAACAAGTTCGATCACAAGTCCGTTTCCCAAAATATACAATAGCCCAAGACACATTTAAAATTGATGCAGGTTAAATATTTTTATAAATAAAAAAATTATATATATATATATAGTTTTTTTATATAGAATTAAATAAATAAAAATTATATGTACTAATAAAGAAAAAACCATAACTAATAACTAAAAATAATAATTAAAAGATAATATATTTAATCTTGAAAGTCGAGATATTTATTTAATTGTATATTGTTAAATTTATTTATTAAAATAATTTTTTTATTCAAGTAAATGATAATAGAAATAAAGATAAAAATTAAGTTAATTGAATATATATAAGGTGAAAAAAATAATATGCAAGACTACCCATATTAAAAGTATTATTTGAATTTTTTTCTAAAAATAAAGTTTATTTATATAAAAAATAAAAAAAATACAAATGAATCAGAAAAACACTTTAAAATTTAAATACACAACAAAAAATAATTATTATTAAAAAAGACTTTTTAAACAAAATGAAAGAGAGAAAGAGGTATTAATCTAAATCTAAATAATAAAAAAAATTAGAAATAAAAGCATTAATTAAAAAATAAAAAAATATTTAGAAAAAAAAGGGTAAATGTCAAGCACTGCTAGGTCTGCCAACCTGTTAGACCCACATGACTGAGCCTATTTTTTCTGCAATTTTCGTTCACCCTTAACTTTTTTAAGAAATAGAATTAAATGATGCATTGTCTATTAGGATAAACAACACGTTGTCTGATTTACCTATTACACCATCGTGGTAGCTGAAAATTAAAATTAAAATTTTTTTATCCAAAAACTTATTTTTCAATCCATTCTTGACCTAAAACATTTTAGGAATTATGATAAACTTATTCATGGTCTCAAAAAAATCAAAAAACCATCCATAAACAAAAAATCAAAATGACTTTATATATGTTTTTTTCATGAACTTTCAAGATAAAAAAACATCTAATATAAATTAATTTCTCTTACCAGATTGAACCATTTTACATAAACATTGATCATTTTGGTAATTTAAATTGGTGTCAATAATTTTTTTTTTATCTTCACCATTAGAATCTGCATGATCTCTCTCTCTCCTCTCTTGATCAAGAATTTAAAAATAAAAAAATAAACTTTTGTACTAAAATGGAGGCATCAAAATCATATAATTTATGTTATTTTTAAAGTTAAAGAATAAAATGTAATTTTTTTGAAATTTCCAGCACGCTATGATATCTTTTTTTTATTGCAGTCTCTATATTTACAATTCCACCCTTGACTAAAAAATTGGATGCAATTAATCTTAAATTATGATCAAATCACCTGAAATAAAACTTTGAATATCAAAATGAATTATTAAAAATGAACAGGGCATCCACGGTGTTTTGTGTGTGCATGAGTAGTGATAGCTCCTGCAGTAAAAACCTCTCGAGTTCTAGATTATAGGTAATTTTGATCAAATCTAAACAAAGAAATTAAACAGATAAAAATCCAAAACCATAAAAAAACTCAAAATCAAGATAGGTAAAATGCAAACCTGAAAGAAAATAAAGGGCCGAAATAACAAGCAATGTGCACCCATAAATCAAACAATAAAGGTTTGGTAAGTGAATATATATAGAGGATCAGGTAATGCTTTGAGTGCCTTGATTCGTTTCTTGATTCGGAGTAGTTTTGTCTCCAGTTGATTGCTTTGTTGAAGGTTGGCCTCCATTTCCTTGATCCTGTAGAGATTTGCGACTTGAAGGTTGATTTAAGTCGTCACTTTTGGGAGAGGAATTAGTGTCCCTTTCAGTAGTAACCACCGCGTACCTACGTTGTGGCACCGTTGCCAATGTAGCCTTTATGAGATCAATGTACAATGGAAACTGTGCTATAGCAAAAAAAGTCACCGGCAGGCAAGTCACTCCATACAGCGGAAAAGCTGCGAACTTCAGTTCATCACTAAGCACGAAGAAATGCCCCGCACAAAAACATAGCAGTATGGCAGCTATGGACACAAACAACGATGTTAAGCCAAGCAAAACTTTTGTTGGCAAATCTTCGCGAAAATCCTTGGCTTCGTACCTTGAAGTTAGTATTGCAAGAAACATGATAACGGAAGTGATTGAGAAGCAGAGAGCCACGAGAGATGAGATAGCAAATACTTTGAATGCAATCTGGTTTTCGAAGACTGGAGTGCCAGTTTTTTCCGCGTTTCCGCCAGGGACGTTGGCTGATGTTGCGAAGGCGACAGTGGCAATGAGGGCTGCCACCACGGAGCAGGATTGGGATGTGTTGGTTAGCCACGCGCCTCCACTTCTAACAAGTTCTTGGTGTGACTTGTTGAATATTTCCTTCGGGGTCTCGCTTCTATCGTTAAGGCGACGAAAGAAGTTTTGTGGCATGGAATTCTTAACATACTGCAAGCAAAGGGCATAAACTAGAGAGTTTAATGCTATTTAAAATGAATTTATTCTCTGAAAACAAAAGCAATTTGATTGGTTGATGCATTAGTGGATCATACTGTAGTTGGGTGAAATTCGCGTAACAGAAAGTGGGTCAATTCATGAGCGTGTTCATGTCTTTATATATATATATATATACATGCTTGTGTCATACCTTATACCATTTGATTTCCCATTGCAATTGTAAAGCAGCTCCTGGAATGCGCCAAGGCTTATAATCTCCAATCGTGGCAGCTGCAAGATGCCTTGCGCTATTTCCATGGTCATCAACCTGGAGAAAGATCCTGTCTAGTTCCTCGTTTTTCTTCCTTTTCTTTAGCAAAAACTGATAAACATGCGGTTGCCTATATTGCACTGCCAACAGCACCACATTCTTCTTATGCGTGTCTATGTCGTGAATCGCGTGAGGAAAATCATGTAAGATTTTCTCCATGATTTCAGTGATGCCATTCCTTGCCGCCATTAATAGGGGTGTCTCTGGCTTTTCCAGTTTAGAAGTAAATGCGGGCTCCCCTGATGATATCAGTGACAGCGCAAGGTTATAGCTCTTTAATATTAACCTGATTCAACATTGTTTCATTCAAGAGCTAATAGTCTTTCATTTTTTATCTACTAAGATCCATATATCATATATGAAGGATAAAATGTAACCTTTCCCACTGCCTCCAAGCTGATTAATTGCATCGGAGTCGGAAAACGCAGACCGTAGCTTGGGGCGGCTCCCTCCACTTATCTCACTGCTCTCGTACTTGTACAACTTATCCTCTCGAAAAAGCTCGTTCAGTACCTGAACAGACCATGTGTGCTTCTCTTTCTTCAGTTGTAACTTTCTCATCTCCATTGATCCTTGAAAATGCAAGAACATGATTGACTAGTACTAGTTTCTCACACGCAATCAATATGGTATTATCTGTACTCATGAAATGATGGAGAGAACCATACCTAATCCAAGAATGACCAACATTGCTTTCGATCCAAGCTTCAATAATTCAACGATAGTATCATAATTTGGAGGAACTAATCTGCCTTCTCTAGATGATTGATCTGCACAAAACATTTATTAATTTCCCACGACCACGTACACACACACACACACACACACATTCTAGAAATTAGTGGGGGGATTATATACCCCTGATCAGGGGTGTAATTAGAAATTTAAAAGCAGGCGTACTGATATTACAAGAAAGTAGAATAACTGATAATTAATTTGGTCTCACTCCAAAAATTGCGATAATTAATTGGGAAACCTGTCAATATATATCCTTATATATTATACCACTCATCAATATACCCTTAACAGAATCAGTCAGTTATAACAATTGTCTATATTATATTTTTGTTTGTATTCTTTAGTATGCCTTTTCAACAATTATTTCAGTTAACATTAAAGGTCAAGCACTCAGCATATGATAGTTTAATAGCACGTTTATTTTTATATTTTACAAGTATTTTTGAAAAAAAATAATTTTTATTAATTTTTTTTATTGTTTTAAATTAGGTTTTTTGTGTGTTTTTAAATCGTTTTGATATGCTAATATTAAAAATAAATTTTAAAAATTAAAAAATATATTATTTTGATACATTTACAAATAAAAAATACATTAAAAACAATCATGTTAAAACACCAAACACCTTCTAAATAACAATTTTCTATATTATATTTTTATTTTTATTATTATTTTATACCTTTTCCGGTTAATATTAATAACATCTAATTGATATTGATAACATGAACCATTTTATCAATATAGAGTCCTTAAATTTTTTAAAAATTTTATTTTGGTCCCATAATCCTTGTTTTAGAGTTTTCTAGCCCTTGTATTTTATTTTGTAAATACAATTTAGATTTTAAATGATTCCATTTCAATTAAGTCACTGCATGTCAAATTGAAGAATATGATTGAGAAATGATGTAATATAACTAATTATACATAAAAGATTAATTCTTCTAATTATTTCTTCAAATTATATATACAATTGGTACAAGAAGATGCCTTTACGTGCTTACCTGGTCCCCAAACTTTCTTCAGCCACGAACTTAATTTCTTGATTGGAGACGGGGAATTGTTAGTATCATAGGGTGCCGGAGATGTAGATGGCAGGAGTTCTCTTTGTCGTTGTATACCTAAAATTTGTTTACAACATTTAAGAGCAAATCGATGTCAAATACTGTGGTAATGTGTATATGGATAAATCCCTATTAATGCCTCCTCCCCTGAGCGCTTTCCATTGTGTAACAAAAAGGGGAGACAAGAAGATGAAATATGGGCAAAACTATGGTTCAATATTCCATTTTTGTTTTAGATTGGATTTAACCCATGGTTGGTCTTTGAAATCTTTTATTGATTTCATTTTTCAATTTAGGCTTTGATTTTTTATTTTTATTGATGAGATTATTATATGTTACTTTATTCTGCTAATTAAATTGGTTTTTTTAGAGAAGTTTATGATTGAGTGCATGTTTGGTGCTGTGGTGTAATATGTTTTTTAAAAATATATTTTACTTGAAAATACATTAAAATATTTTTTTTTACCAACATAATAAACACATCGAAAAACATTTAAAAAACATTAAACCAAGCACACTCTTTAAAAACACTCAAATGCATGTGAAAACATAATATCAAATGAGAACTAAATAATTAACAAACTACATATGTTTAGTGTTCACCGCTAGGTAAAATTTCAAATGAAAATGTCATTCAATAGTCATTGAAAAATTTCTAAAAGAAAAGGTAACACATTAACAAAAAATTATATAAGGGCAATATCAGTAATAGAAAAGAACTAAATAAGATGCCCATACGTTGCCGTATGATCTTATTATTTTTTTTGTAATATTCTAACAAGTAACTTGGTTAAGAGAATGTTGTTTTTTCTTGTGATTTTCTAAGTTGTAACATGACTAAGAGCATGTTAAAGTGCAAATAATGGTGTGTTCATATAAATAATAGTAGAATAACATTTTAAAACAAAACTTAACTAATTTTGCATTCAATAGTAGAGAGAGATTATATACATAACTTATGCACAAACAATAAAAAATATATGTCAAAACTAACATAGCCATGTATTGACATTTCTATGAAGTGTTTAAATGTCACGAAGCAAATTAAAAAAGTTAGAGGATGACAAGTAGTAACAAAAGGTGGAGCATGACTAGTATCTATGGTTTAGCAGCCTATGCAAAATAAATAAACAAGCAGGATCAAAGTTCTTGAATGCAGGAGATGCTAAAAAGTATGTGAGTTAGCAAGTAGAAAACAATAAAAAAGAAGTGTTACAATAGAAAAGGCCTTCTGGGAAGGCAGGTGAAAAATTATGAAGATGGAAGAGCAAATTGATTTTTTTTAAAAGGTAGTCATAAGCTTTTAATGTCTAGAAAAGTAAGCAAAGTTGAGCAAAGTTAGAACACATTATGGTTAACAACAATTTATGTGCAAATTAAAAAAGAAGATTTGCAAAAACATCATAAAAAACACAAATTATGAACCAATTAAAAAATGCAAATGAAAGAGTAATTCTTTACGGGGATAAACAGCAACATAAGTAATATAATAAAGTTGAAAAGGAGATGAACTTAGATACTGGATGGCAGCGAGTCTTGCTACCTTTTTTGCATAAAGAGATTGTTCTTGAATATCATGAGCTAAACTTGGATGTTGATTTCTTTATCGATTACAAGCTTATCAGTATAAGATGCACTAGCTTGGTTATAATAAAGCAAAACAGAAACAACTTGGTGGAAAAAAGGATTATAAATGCAATTAAGAAACCTCAAACAACAATCAAGAATTCAAAGGTAACATGACGGATTCGTGTTTAAATATGTAAACCTATGTTATGCTTTTAAGTCAGTGAATTCAAGTTTTCTTTTAGTTCTAAGAGTAAAGTTACCATAATACTTTGCGGTTTAGATGAGGGAGTTTCTAAAGAAGAAATAGTTGTGATTGTGTGTGGTATGCTTTCTAGTGTAATAAAAATGGCTATTGTTTTGCCAATAAACATGAAAGGTGAGAGTGCATATTAGTATCATTGGTGTTGCTATTGTCAAAGATGTTTGTTTCAATTATATCGCAATGATTGGTCCTGAATCTAAAAGCACCAAAATGCAATTAGAAAATCTAGTTTCTATATAATTTAGCTATCATTGAAGGTGTGAAAATGTTTAGGTCAGTAAATTGCTTATCGTAAACATAGTTGTGTGCAGATGAAGAAAAGACATTCTTATTAAAGATGAAGACTATAAATTTTATTCACTTTGGAATAAACAATATTAAACAACACCACATATATAAGGACATCGACCAACAAACATGTGAAAATGGTATAATATACAAGCATAGGAATGAACATAGTGAAAGCCTAGGACAATAAATACTTAAATGATTAATATTTTTTTTCTAAAAAAGAGGGTGATTGCAACAAAAAGATAAAATTCATAGCAAAAATAGCAATCAAAAGTAAGGAGAAAGAGGAGAGAGACTGAATACTTCCATGTAAACGCAACTAACTAATTCTATCAGCATAATTATACAAACCCCCTAACACCAATGATACAAGATCAAACTATAAAGGAGTAGCATATGAGAAACCTTCCAATAAGTTAAAAGCAACAACAACAAATAACACAAAATAGAACAAGAATGGTGCAGCCTAAGTAAATAAAGAACATAAACCACATAACATAATAAAAAGACACCATATATGAAGGAAACTTATAACTAATGGTAACATAAGAGAAACAAAATGCAGGCAACAAAACAAGAAAAATAAAATTACCAGAACCAAAAGCACAAATGGAAAGCTTAAAAAAAACACTAAAATAATTGGTGTGAAGGCCTTAAATAATACATAAAAATAAGACCACCAACTTTCTCTATCTTAAAATGCTAAAGCAAAATGACCAAACATAACATGCTAAAAAATATATAGTAAAAACTACTAAAACAAACTAGTGTCATGATAAATATTATCCAAAATGAACCTAATTGCAACAGTGCCTATAGAGAAACAACCAACAATCATAACTAACCATAACCAAATAGAATTAGTTGAAAGCAAACAAAACCCAAACTTTGAAAAACACACCAAACCTTACAGAGTGTTACTACATTTAATGCAACATCATTAGCAAGGTCAAAAGCTCTAGAGGATATATACGTTGACTAGGAATTTGGTGATAAAGAGACCACACTTGCAAAATTAATGGAAGAACACACCCAACACCACACATTCCTAAGGATCAACTGCCCAACAATTTTGGTGTTTGAGATTATTATTGACACCACATAGATAAAATGTAAGAATTAACCAACCATGTTAAAAAGGAAAGGGAAAAATAAGAATGGGTCAACGATTAAAAGCCCTAAAAGATGGAAAACTATCCTGAACACGCTTTACCATCAAAGGTTCAAGAGAGAAGAGAAGCTAATCATACACTCAAATACAATGGAGTTAACACAAGAAAAGGAAACCTAACATTGACCCGAACAACAACACCCTTTTTTTTAATCAAATAATGGGGAAAAAAATGCCCATAGAGCAACAAAAACTAAAAAAATAAAATAAAGGTTAAGTAGCAATCAATTGTGACAACCAGCACATCAAGCAATTCACATGTCAAAAGATATGAAGATGAAAAGCTGTCATCTTATCTAATAATCACCTTGTAGCAAGCTATGGACGTGGCCACCAATGTTCAAGAGAAAACCAAACATTTTCAACCCACCATCACTTCACAAATTCAATTGCATCTGCTGCTCCATTAAAATCATTGTACATAAAAAAAGGTGTTATTTAATTTATTGTTACAATCCATAGTGGATCGTATATATATGCACAATAATTTCAATAACAACATTAGTTTTTTCTATTTAAGCAATTCACATGTCAAAAGACATGAGGATGAAAAGGTGTCATCCCATCCAACAATCACCTTGTAGCAAGCTATGGATAAAGCTACCAAAGCTCAAAAGAAAACAAAACATTTTCAACTCACCATTATAACACATATTCAATTGTGTCTATAGCTCCTATTGAAATCACTGCCTATTAGAAATTGTGCAATGCAATCCATTGTTACAATCTATTGTGGATTGTATCCGTGTGCATAGTAATTTCAAGAGCAATTTTAGTTTTTTTTATTAATACAAGATTTGAATAAAATAAATGATATATAAAAGTTTAATTATACTCAAAATATTTTTCTTCCCTTTATGATTCTTTTATGATTCTTTTGGGTATCTAATAAATAAAACACAGTTCAATTTTATGCATTTATTTAGAGGTGTTCGATATTGAGCTTAAACCTGTTTTACTTCAAAATTTGATTTTTATTTGTTCAAATTAGTTTTTTTTTAATATGTTTTTTGTATCATTTTTGTTGATGTTAAAAATAAATTTAAAAAATAAAAAATAATATTTTAATATATTTTAAAGTGAAAAACACTCAAAATATTAATATCTATTACACTTCCAAACACCTTAAAATCAAATAAGCTTAAAACTAGTGTAAAAGTTATGCGGAGTTCGAATTCATTTAAAGGGAGTGTTATAAATGTAAAACCATAAATTATGTGCACGCACATATATGTACCTGCAATGCAAATTAAAGCCTTGTACATCAATGTAAAGAAGTGCAAACATGTCTCATAGTTGTCTGGACATTGATTATTGTTTCTATTTTGGGATGATCGATCTGTAGAGCCAGATTGCTTTCTATAATATTCTCTGCCCATATATTCTTTCTTCTGTAGTCGATCAACAATTGTACCTTTCAAAACATAGCAACATAATAAGATTTTTTTTCTAATATCCTAAGAGAGTTTGCTTATTTTCTTAAAACGAACCGCAGCTTGCTAAGAGCTAATGTCCCTTTTCAGAAAGTGAGCATATATATGAAATTCAAACCTTAAATTTATACTTACAGTGGTATATGATGTTGTAGTAAGGACGAAGGTGGAAGCCACTTTTGAAGGCTGTATGCCTACTCGCTAAACAATGGAGTGGAGATATTCCTCTTTCATTTACCAAGTTAACAAGCTTTGGATCCAGATGAATTATTTGGAATGCTAGATCTGCATACGCATCAATTTTAATTAAGTTCTCGATATGGATCACGTTATTGTATAAAAAACATTCATATGTATGTATGTATATTCACATAAGAATTTCTACCTCTATACTATTACTATTACTATTACTATTATGGTATAATAAGTACTAGATTGGTGTCCCGAGACGTTGCGATCTAGACAAAAAAATTTTAACATGAAAGAAAAAAGATGATTATGTTTTTAAAGAAATAAGAGAAATTCAATAATTAAATTAAATTTTGATTAATTTTATATATAATACAATAAAAAATAAGGCAGCAACAACAAAAAAAATAAAAATAAAACAAAAATATTGTTATGGGCAAAGTTGGGTTGGCACACAAGATCTATGACTTGAACATGAGATATGCCAATATTATGTGTTTATCATGTATCCTAGATTATGAGACTGAGATAATTTCATATAATAATATAACAAGCAGACAACACGTCGCTCATTGTAGCAGACGACGTGTTGTCTACTAGCCTAGATACTAACATATCATACAAACACCAAGAAACTAACATACAACTCATTAAACAAAAAAAAAAAAGAAGCCTAAATCACTAAATCAAATCAGAAAATTACATCCTTAACTTAGATCTAGTTTTCTAGGTTGCATTGAGCCTTAAAACAACTACCATAAGACTTCTCTCATCTAGTAAAACCTGTTGACACCAATTTTAACATATTTTGGTAGTCAGAATTGTCATCAACGAAGATCTCTTTCTTTCTTTGTTGAAATCCAGTGACTTCTCTCTCTTCTCCCATGAAAAAATAATTGAAAAAAATAAAAATAAAATAAAATTTGGTATCAAAATGTATTTTTTTAAAATTAAAGGGACCGATCACCTTTTTTAAAAAAACTAGAGGACTAAAATGTATTTCACAAATAAATTTAAAGCCATAACCTATATGACCCGTGTTTTTCACTTTAATCTAATGTCTTTCAATTAAATATTTCCTAAAACAACATGCAACTGGTGTTAATTTTGACTTAAAATAGTTTAATTGTGAAAAGAAAAAGTTTAATCATCAAAGTAAATTTTTTGTAAAAAGTCAATGCTACGCTTCATGGTTATTTGTGATTATTTGGGAGAGAATAGACAATGATTTTATGCGGATTGAAAACATATAAGCTTTAATTTTTGTTAATATCCGAGTATTCTCACCGAAATATTCTCCAGAGATGGCGACATGGAGAATGGTATCGCCCTTATTCCCTCTGTAATATGAATCGCGGTATCTGTCACGAACATAACCGTGTAAACACAGAAAGGCATCTGTTTTACCCATGGCAGCAGCCAAGAACGATGGGGTCTCATTTTCCATGTCACGTTCGCCTAATATGCAATATTCTTCATACCCGGCTCCTATCTTTTCTGATGAATTCCGAAACTCCTCGTCCGAATAAATTTTACTAGCAAGGCAATCACACAACGAGGCGTTCCCCACAAAAGCAGCCAGATGGAGAGGTGTATATCCCCGTTCATTTTTTACTCGTAGAGCCTTGGCGGCTTCTTCCAAGGACATTAGGCTTACTAGTTGCTCCACTGTTGTTTCTTTGCCACCAATAACTGCTATGTGTAACGCTGTGTCGCCTGAATTGGTGATTTTTGCACAGTGAGCTACTGATTTTCTTGTATAGATCTCAATCACTTTGTCCCATCCATCGCTCATGGCATATACAAACAAGCTCGATCTGGTGGTCTCCTCTAGATAAAGATCCATGAAGCTCGTCTCTACCTTTATGGTTTTAGATTCTTCAGGCGTTGTCTTCTGATTTTCCTGCCACAACCAGAATTAATGCTTACAGAAGCTGAGTTTCAAACTATTTTCACGGTATGGCAAAAAAAGGTCCAACTTTGTTTTCTTTATCAAAATTCTGTTTATATATATAGACACACATAAATACATAAATACATTCGTATGCTGTAATATCGGCTCTGCATTAGACTCCACCGATTATTAAAAAAACTGCAAAATAAATATTTACGCTGTGAATAATGATTGTGCTATATATGTCATGGGTAATGAAATTCTCTCTTAAAAGGCTTAACTCCCACTATCACGTTAAAAAATAAAGATTCGAAGTATAAAAAATAAAAAAATATTTTATTTCAAATAAAAAGTATAAAGAAAAAGAAGTAAAAACTAAAAAAATAAAGTTAAAGAGAAAAATTGTAATAAAGATGCCATGTATGAAATGATAAAAATATCAATTATAATGAGGAATTAAAATTTATAAAAAAACTTGTTTTTTATAAAAAAAATAAAAATAAAAATTTCACCACGGAAATAGTAAGTAAAATCCTTGCAAAATTTACAATTATAAACGAAAACACCATTTTTTGTTATATGTATAATTATCATTTCTATTCGTATCTTTAACTTTATTTTTCTAAACCGCTTGAGAACACGCGAATATAAAAAGACTATCTAGGTAGACGCCAATGCGATCTCCCGAGCCAACAAAAATAACCCGAGAGATCCACTGGGCTAAGGCACCCACAAAGGCCCCTACATGTTTTCTTTGCCCTTGAATGTAAAATACTTGGGGTCTTGGATACCAAAGCGAGGAGATTTTGAGAAAACGGTTTAAATTATAAATTAAAAAAATTAAATTTTTTTTGTATAAAATTATTTTTTATATAAATATTTTTATATTATTTTAATGTGATAATATTAAAAATAATTTTTTAAAAATAAAATAAATATTATTTCAATATATTTTTAAATAAAAATTACTTTGAATACACCACTCAATTACTATAATTTCCATGAGATTGTCCTTCGAGGTGCCTGGATGTGTTGTGAGTTATACCATTGCGACTCTACATAAATGAATAAAAAAGCCTCTATTTTTCTATATCGATGCTCTGCCTGTTTGCTCTGTAGGCCTCGAAGGTCTGTGCAAGTCATGTAGGGACCAAAAGTTTGAAAATTTAAAGCATGAAAAGAACCCAACTACGATCCTAAATTGTTTGAAGATTTAAATTAATGTGCCATTTATTTATATAGTATTATTAGTAAAGGAAAAAAAAGTATTGAACTATTAAATTAATACGTGACAGTGTAGGAGCAAGCAATTACCTTGTCTGAGTAAGTCTTCAACATCTCCCAAAAATCGTGTGCCGTTGCTTCTACTTCCACCATATGTGGCTCTCTGAGTACTTCTCCAATCAGTTCTCCAATCAGTTCCATGTTCGGCTTGTCCGCGTAACGCTTCTGTTAAGAAAAAATAAAATAAAAAATGCTGCACTTATTACTTGACGAGGTTGTATGCGGGAGTATAGAGAGAAAGAGAGAGCAGCACTGGTACTGGTAGAGAGTTTTAGAAACTAAAACGATGAGAGGGATTCAATTAAGAACATTTCCACTTAAGTTGGATGCTTTCGGGGACATTACCTTATCGAATTTTTTTGATATGCGAGTAATTTTCTCAGTGGAGTCGTCAGAAGCAAACACTTTGGCCATTATCTCCACGCCAACTGCTTGATGAATTAACATCCAGGCCTTTGCGTTCTTGTTCTGAGCTTCACGATATCCATCTTTCTCACTATTTTTCCATTTTGCGAGTTCACAGTTATCTTTAGGTCGCTCATACCCCGATAGCACTATATCCCGCAATTGCTGTGAAGTTAATACATCTACCATCTTCTTGCTCCATGCTTCATAGTTCCCCACTTCGAAAACAGGTAGATAAACCGTCTTCTCGTCTTCCACCTCAGGGGTTGCTCTCGAAGAAGATGTAACCACCTCAGGGTTTGAAGAGGCTGCAACCACCCGAGGGGTCGGGTTTGCAGAAGATGTGCCCACCTGATCAGGGGTTGCTCTCGAAGAAGATGTAACCACCAGAGGGTTTGAAGAGGCTGCAACCACCCGAGGGGTCGGGTTTGCAGAAGATGTGCCCACCTGATCAGGGGTTGCTCTCGAAGAAGATGTAACCACCAGAGGGTTTGAAGAGGCTGCAACCACCCGAGGGGTCGGGTTTGCAGAAGATGTACCCACCTGAGGGGCTGGGTTTGAAGAAGATGGATGGATCATGTTTTATTTTCTGGCCAGGTATGGGTGTGTGTTCTCAAGTGGAAATGTAAATGGATTGTTTTGTGGTTCGAGTAAACCATGCAACGATGAATGCCTACAGAGTTAGAGAGTCAAGTGTTGAGATCAGGGACAATAGGGAGGCTATTTATAGACGAGTGGAGGAAGCTTATTCTCTAAATTAACAAAACAATATAATTACATGAATAAGATTTTTCATGCTCGACTAATATAGTATGGATTAGACAAATCATAGCAACCACTCACAATTGTTATTATTCTTCTCACTAGTAATCATGAGAAGTGAAATTTAATATTAGCTGTTTGTTTGTAAATTATTTTATCTTCCAAGAAGTTAATTTCCCTCCATCTAACTAGGTGGCCCAATCTCTTTAATTTGTCAGAAAAAAGCACCATCATATATATACTTGTATGAGGGCTTCAAGTTTCCTAAAGTTCCTCCCGTGAATCGCTTTTCGATCTCAAGGTTAATTTCCAACAGCAGTGGTATAACTCAAGTCCCTGGCTTTTCCAAAATAGACCAATGAGGTGTGCTCAAAGGGACATTTCGCTTTTATAAAAGGAAGCAAATAATATATATATGAGATCCCTGGCTTTTACTGTTACATTACTGGTGCTAACCCATTAGTACGTGTTGTTCCCCCCTTTTTTTATTCAAAGGAGACAGAGAGCTTTCACTTTCTTGTTGTTTCCCCTTTGTATGTTCCTTCAGATGAAATTCTCTGTGACGATAGAAATTTAATTGTTAAATAATTGTTGGGAAATTTACTCTTGTTACAACTCTTAAAAGAGAAAAGCCAAGAAATGAACTAAATAATTTAACCCCACTTTTTTTTTCTTAATATATATATATATATATATATAT